TCGCCCACATACTAATTGCATTCGATGTTTGAATGTTTAAAGTAAAATTAGATTTAACATCTAACAGAATAATCAGCAGAAAACACGTTGCGTAAGACGATTGATCATATGTATACATAGAATGATATACATCACAACCAAAGTTCATACTTACGAAAAAATTTTCCTATCACACAAAAATTATGATCATTTAATCGTCTTATGCAACGTGTTTTCTGTTGATTATTCTATTAAAGGTCGATTGTTCCATCTTTTGGTAAATTTTACCTGTTGAGTAAGTAGCAAGATTACCCAATCACATGCGTGGATTATCAGATTTATCTCACAGGTAAAATTTACCAAAAAGGTGGAACAACTGGCCCTAAAGGCGCTTAGGATATAATAATGCATTTATTAGATCCTAAAATGCCACACATTAGTTTTCCTCTCAAATCGGAGAGTCATCATCTCTTTCTCATTCAAGAAAAAGAGGATGATAACATCTCGATTAGCGAAGAGGATGAAAGTGTAATTCTTAGTGACAAAGAGGACCTCATAGAAGAGTACCCCGACTCTAATATGTGAGACATAATTAGAGGGGAACCCAGGCCCGTATGTGTGAACATTCCGGCGTAATATTTCCCTGAGATTTCACTGAGATGAAAGCTGGGACGAAGAGGAAGAGGAGGAGGATGACGACGAGGACAACGACGACAATTTCATGTAAATCAAAATAAATACATCACAAATAGGACTTATATAGCTTCCGTATTGTTAATTGAGTTACGGAACGTGGGTTTTTAGCGAGTAGCGGGAGCGTGGCTTTTCGTTTGACATACCTGCCCCTGAATTCCGCACCAGGCATTTCGCTTTAAAACGAGACAGAGAGAATTTTAAGTCTTGCTTAAAGTTAAAATAATGTTGGTGCAACCGGGCCTAAGACGTAAGCAGTAAGGAAATCAACATGTTGGATTGGCTATTGCTTACGTTATAGCCTTACTCTAACCGTGATTGGTCAATTTGCTTACTGTTTTTACTGCTTAAGTTTTTTTGTGCGTCATGACCTTAAAGGACTCCACACAATAAAAGGAACAAAGAATAGAGAATAAGAATTTCAACCTATGAGAAACTGTATATTCCACAATACATGATTTGTATCGATACTCTCTCTGTCTCGTTTTAAAGCGAAAGTGAGACAGAGACAGAGAGAGTTTTAAGCCTTGCTTAGAGTCAAAGTAACATTGATGTAATCGGGCCTTACTGCCTTAAGTTTTTTGTGTGCCACGGCCTGGTGCGGAATTCAGGGGCAAATATGCCAAACGAAAAGCCACGCTCTCACTACCCGCTAAAAACCTACGTTCCGCGGTTAACAATACGAGTTAACAATACGGAAGCTATATAAGTCTTATTTGTGATGTATTTATCTCGATTTACATGAAATCGTCGTCGTCCTCGTTGTCATCCTCCTTTCCGAAGCGCCTTACATCCATGTTCATTCCCAGTCAGGCCTTATATTTAAGGTTTCCTTAAATTTATCTTCAGATACTCTACGAGTTATTTCATTGGCTACTGAACATCTAAAGATTAAGTACAAGGTCTGACTATGAATACGGGCATTAGTTTTAGTCAGGTGGTTAAGTTAGTTCGCGCACGAACTGTGAGCATTAATGTAGAAAGGTGGTCACTTCTCAATTTGTAAAAATTTCTGAGAGAACGAATCAAAGTCCTTGAGTGTACATCCAGAGCAGGGCTCGGCAAAATTTGCATTTTTCAGCCTGTCTTTAAACGTTAGACGCTCCTAAATGTCGAGCGGCATTTGGACTGCGTGCAGGACGAGCGGTGAGAGGAGCAGCGGGAGGCGGAGCCTCTCAAAAATCGGCTGAAAAGTGCAAATTTTGCTGAGCCCTGATCCAGGGAAATAAGGATGGCAATGCGACGCATTATCTGCAAGTACATGTTTTCTCTGAAGGATTAGATTTATGGATAGATGACTGAAAAATTCGATGTATCAAAGACGCGAATCAGTTGATCAATTTTGTATTTTGTGAAGACGCCGCATTCTTTCGATCCAGAGTTACGTAAAGCCGGTTTTACATTAGTTGCAAGCCGATCGCGATCGGAAGTTTGTTGCGACAGCCAATCTGAAGCTTGCATTTTGAAATCAATGCTTCATATTGGCTGTCGCAATAAACTTGCGATCGGTTTGCAACTAATGTAGAATATAGCGTGTCAGGATATAGCGTTTGTAACGCAATGAATTACAAAAATCATATTATCGTTCACATTGATTGTGCAGAACTCTACATAATAACACCATATCATTAGAATTTATTAATATCACGACTTTCTCGTACGATGCATCAGAAAAAGAATTAAAGTTAACATCCGTCAAGTTCGCATTAGATTTTCCGTCAGTACGTTACAGTGCAATTTTTAATGTATGGTATTTAATTGTTAAATGTCAAGTGATAATAGTCTTTATAATGTTCTTCTCTATTCTTTTTCTCGTAAACGTAAGGAAATATCTACACAAACTTACATAGCCGGATGAACGTACATATAAAGAAAATTATTCAATCACATTTTACGTGCATCTTTATAAAAGAAATGCGGTTGAATACTTTTCTTTATGCACACGTTTATGCGGTTATACAAGTTTGTGTGGATATACCGTAAATTTCTTAATAAATGTGAAAAGTCTATTTTTATGAGATAGTATAAGACTGTTTTCCATAAAATATATGAGGTGTACGTACGGTTGTATAAAAAAACAACCTAACATATGAAAGAAATTTATAAGCTGCTCCAATTTTACGTTGTAGTTTTTATGATTCTGAACAAATGTCTTCTTTGTCATATCCAGAGAAAATAAACGGGTCAAAAGATATGGAGCTCTGAAGTCACAGAATCTGAATGTCTGCTATATCTCTAAGATAACTAAAGATGTTCTCTTTTATGTGTAATAGATCGACGTACGCATATATTCTTGAATATATGAGAAGCACTCATATATTAGTTATGTATATCATTTATATATCATATATTAGTTATTGGTATCTTTTGGAAATTCCTTTCGGTTTAAGTATTATTCTTGTTGTAACGTCAGTTTGTACTCTCCGTAAAAAAAAATTGTACTGAATAATGTTTTCAAAATAAAAAAGTTATATTTATCTTATACCAAAAATGACGATTGTTTCCAATCATTTTTCATATTTAGAAAACGAATAATAACATAGTACGACAATGTTAAGTTTATTAATTAAAAGTTAATTAATTAAAAGCTGTTTGCGCCACAAACATAGTCCATTATCTTATATTAAAACGGATTCATAAATGTTAAAATAAATTCTTTTGATCTTTTTAATTGATAAATTCTTAAAATCTTGAATACATTTTTATTCATATATTTATAGGAATGGCATGGAGTATATTTCTATACTCCATGCCATATATTCAATCTAAAAATAATATTATAGTATTTTGTGTGTGCATCATGAATACTGCTTTATTAAAAATTCTAAATAGGAAATGTAGTTTTTCAACCCAATTAAATCTAAAAATAATATCGGCCATTTCTGTGCATCGTGAATACTGCGTAATTCAAAATTCTGAGTAGAAAATGCAGTTTTTCAATCCAGCTGAATCTTAAAATCAGCTATTTCTGTGCATCGTGAATACTGCGCAATTCAAAATTCTGAATAGGAAATGCAGTTTTTTAATCCAATTGAATAAAAAAAAATTGTTTTCTCAAATGGACCATAAATGCCATTCAATTAAAAATTGTGAGTAGAAAATCCATTGTTTCATTAAAAAATGTATTATGAATGCTACTTTATTCAGAATTATAAATAAGAAATTTTTCATTTTAATTCGATTGAATTAAAAAAAAGTTGTATCGTAAAAATATATCAAGAATTCTACTTCATTTAATAGTTAAAAGAAACATAAAAAGAAATACGTTATATGTACAATAAATGTTACATATATAAATTCTTTATTTTTAATTATTAAATTAATCGTTTTTATGTATATTTTATACTATCCCTTTCCTTTATTATATAGCTAGTGCATATTTTTTGTATAAAACTTTTAAAATAATACCTATAGAATTTCATGTAATTATTACTTTAATTTATTTAAATTTTTACATATGTATAAAAATTTTTTATATGGAATCCATTTTTATAGATTTAAAATATTCGGATTCGGATGGATTAAAAATTTCCAATCCATTTTTGTTTTGTTGGATATATCTATAATACATATATTGTCTTAAAAACGCTAATACAGCCTTCTAATTCGTGACTTCTTAAGATTGTACTTAAGACGGTCTTGAATATATAAGATCTATATAACTATGAATACCGGCCTAGATAATTTTATCTCGATACTAACCCAGCAACCGAGAATGAATTGAAAGAAATTGAAATGGATTCAGATTTTCAAAAATATTAATTCACAAATGTTAAAATGAATGCATTTTTATTCATTTATATGAATTGAAGCATATCTCTATGCCTTTCAATCTAAAAATAATATTAGCTTTTTCTGTGCATTGTGAATACTGTCCAATTTAAAATTTTGAATAGGAAATGCAGTTTTTCAATCCAATTGCATCCAATTGAATCTAATTGAATCCAATTAAGTAAAAAAAAAAGTATTCGCTACTTAAAATACGCGCGCGCGCATTTGGATAGAAAAAAATTTCAATCCATTTTAATTCATTCTCGTTTGCTGGGAACAAACATAGCTTGAGAAATGATCGATCTCGGTTTTTTTTTAACTCACGCGCGCATTTACCCAACTTCCTTCAGCCGCATTCACGTCGGAAGTACGTCATCCACGGGATATTTCGATAGCGGTGGAGATAGCGCCCGCGTCGATCGCGAGATCTAACGAGCTCATACGGAAGTAGCCGAAGCGAGGTAGTTGCGGTCGCCATTTTCTCGGGTAGTCATCCGAAATCATCTTGTCTCTGTCACCACGGTTAATTTTGACCGTATTTCGTTCCGGACGGGGTAAAAGACCGCCTCCTGTCCGCCGTATACGTGCCACGCCGACCGTCGCACCGCAAATGGCTTGTCTGAACACCCTTAAGCAGGAAATCAAAACGCTCGAATCCGTCTTCCCCAAGAGCCATGAGAGGTTTCAGATAATGTCTGCGAGCGTGGACGAACTCAGCTGCAGATTCGTCGGTAAAAATGGGAAGAAGTATGAAATACACGCCAATATCACAGTAAGTGTAACACGCGCGCGCACGCCCGCGTGTGCCCGCTCTTGGACGCTCCGTTTTACGTCCTGTTACGTCCTCTGTGTAGCATGAATGAGTGAGTGAATACGTGCGTGGATACGTGCGTACTTTCATTCGCTGCCTCCTTTTGTTTCGTTCATCTCGTTTTCGCACGGAATACTCGCCTGAGTTTTCTTACAAATCGTCAATGGATGAGATACTTGTTTTGTGCCGCGAACAGGATCTCGGCCAATATTGCAGCTTCCACGTCTTTCTCCTTTCTCGATCATCTTCGACGCCGATCGATTTTTTTCCTTGCTTTTTATCCTTTACGAACGCGAGAACTTTCGTCGAATAAAAAAGATCGAAGTCTGTCCGGAAGGACAGGAGAGTATCTGCCATTCCGGGATCTCTCAGGCATTGTTTTTTTTTTACACTGATGTGTCGCAGACAAAGGTGGAGAGAAGAGGATCCAGACAAAGAATCTCGAACGATCTCGAAGAATGTCGAATCTCAAAGCATTCGATCGCGCATTTAGGGACGCAGTTTTCGCAACGAGTCGATTTTTT